CGTATTTTTTACCCTTAACTTGATTGCTATGACTTAGGGGGCTACAAGTCCCCCAGTTTGATAGCTAGAAAACAATAGAAAACAATGACAGATCCTCTTAATAGAGGCATCAGGGGTTCCCAAGATCCCTAATGTCACCTAGGGACCCTCAAAGAAGCTGATGAAGCAGATATCCTTTAAGGATAGGCGGACAGCAAGGGGTTAACGTCATGCTGTTGTAATTAGACGGCAAGACAGAATACTCTTGAATATTGCATGCATGCATGCACAAATGGGAAACTGTCCGCATTTTAAACAGCCGGCGATGGTTGTTTACATACAAGCTATCAGGCCTGATCACTTGTATGTTGCGTTCTATTTTCCTGACATGACCCCATCTTTTATATTTTACCAAAACATTGGCTAATAAGAAATGTTTTATAACAATGTAGGAAAACACAGGGGAGGGAATTTATCAAAGCACTTGCGACAGTTTTAGCCTCTTGGATCATTTTTTTTTATGTGCAAATCTGTCTTTTAACATGTGCCCCTGTTTTCTTCAGAGGTTGCACTACTTTTTCAACTGCATGTTTTTTGCACCTTTTTTGCACCTTTTTTGCACATGTTTTCATCTGCACTTGTTCTGGGCTGTCTGAAACTGGAGCATCACCTAACAAAACACTCACAACTTAAAAAGTCCCCATGTTTGGACGCTGCAATGCCATCAAAATGACAACCCTACCCAGGGTCCTTTACCTGTTCCAGGCCCTCCCGATTCACATCCCGCCAATATTCTTCCGCCGCCTACGCCAAACGTTCACAGCTTTCCTATGGTCCTATGCCCCCACCAGAATCCAATACTGTACCATCACCATTCCCAAGAACAGAGGAGGTATCGGACTCCCAGATCTGGCCAAATACCAAAGAGCGACCCACCTAGCACGCGTCTGGGATTGGTGCTGTCACCAGAAAACCAAGCAATGGGTGGGCATGGAAGAAGATGACACCAAACCGGCCTTAGCTGGACTACCCTGGCTTTCCGCACCCCTGCCGCCCTCCGCACGCTCACATCCTACCATCCCACCCACACTCCTCTTAGCTAGGTCACTAATTCGCTGCACGGAATCTCCCCATTCCCATCGCCTCTGATCCCAGTAATTGGCGATTGAGACTTTTCGCCCGGCGTCTATGACTCTCGCTTCCGTCGCCTTCGTGAAGCCAACAAATTCTGAGTAAGCGACTATCGGCCGGCGAACTCAGCTGCCTGACAGAACCCCCCTAGACCGTTGGGGTGCTCTCCAGCTGAGGCACTTTCTGCTCTCCATACCTAACCACCAGCAACTCTCCAGACCCCTGACTTTGTTCGAGAGGACCTGCAAGGAGGAGATACCCATTCGTCATGCGATATCCTCCTTGTATTCCATGATGATATCACCTTCCCCAGAGTCCTATCCGACATTCTTGGCCAAATGGGAAAATTACCTCAACACCACTTTCACACCGGCTCAGAAAGACCGCATACTACATCTTGCCTATCACTCTTCCATCGCCTCTAAGACCCAAGAGCTGGGATATACATCACACCCCAGACTGATGCTGGAGATGCTGTTATGATGTTGAGGCGAAGCCTCCTTGTACCATTGTACCATGCATATTCATATGTACAATAAAGTTGACTTCTGATTTAAAAAAAAAAAAAGAAGTCCCCATGATCACTTCAAGATGCGACAGTTCAGCTTTTTGTCTGGAGTTAGAAGTCTTCTTTCTTGGAGTCTATTAAACCTCATTTATCAACATTACACTAACTTGATAAATCTGGTGCAAATATTTTCCGTGCAAGTTCAAACACTCGCAAGTGCTTTGATAAATTCCCCCCAGGGTTTTTTTTCCAATTTTTTTTGATATATAGTAAAAAATAAAAAAACACCAGCGGTAATTAAATACCACCAAAAGAAAGCTCTATGTGTCCCCCAAAAATTATATAAAAGTCATTTAAGTACAGCGTTGCATGACTGAATAAAATGTCAAAGTACCGCAGTGCTGAATACTGAAAAATGACCTGGACAAGAAGGGGGTTTAACACCCCAGTCATCAAGTGGTAAAACATCAAAAAGGGAGAGTAAAATTTACTTTTCCCAATACTTAGAGGCGGCGTGGGACACTGCAGGTCGCTCAGCTCGTGACCTCCTCCCCAGCAGAGCAGTCATGGCTCCCTGCAAGGATTCCCCCCTCCTCTCTCTGTTCCTGCAGGGCTCACTGGGGGGATAGACAGGGGAGGGGGTGGGCACAGCTTGTTCTGGTTCCAGAGAGGCAGAACCAGCTTTCAATCAGGCAGTGGGATGGATCATCACAATATCATTTGAACCATTCCCGGCTGCAGCGCGGCTATGCGCTGTCAGCAAATAGTGGGCAATAGCCTACAAGATGTTGCCTTTGGGTTGCAAGAGCACATTATTAAAGGAGAACTATGAGGTGAGTGGTTTTCACTCATCCTCATAGTTCTAGCCGTCACATGTCGGCTCAGTAGATCGGGAAGTGAGCGAACACATACCGGTGCTCGCTCACTTCTCGATCCTGTCACTGCACAGCACTGACAGGGGAGGGACTGGATTCCCCCCTCCCCGATCCTACAGCGCTGACTGGCGGAACGGACGGGGGAGGGTACAGCTGGCTCTGCCTCTAGATAGGCAGAGCCAGCTGTCAGTCATGCAGCTGGGCGGATCCAGACATAATTGTTGGGATCTGTTTCAGCTGTGGCATCTCAGTATACCGCGAGCGGTAGATCGCGGTATACGGAGCTTTGGGTGACGGGAGGACACTAGTTACCCTTGGGAGAACTATGGGGAAAAGCCCTAACCCCATAGTTCTCCTTTAAATATACTTCCAACTAAACTAAAGTTTGGCTTTAGTTCCCTTTTAAGGCACTGGGAAAGACTTTAGACTGCACATGGCTGGATCCGGGGACTGGCTACATGAAAAGAAAATATTTTATTGGACATTGAGGAGAATTTATCAAAACTGGAGCAGACAAAATCTGTAGCAGCTGTACATGGCAACCGACCAGCTTCTCTCTTCAGTTTGTTCAGTTGAGATTTAAAAATGAAAGAGATGCTGATTGGTTGCCATGCACAGCTGCTCCAGATTTTGTCTGCTCCAGTTTTTATAAATTCCTCCCTATGTATTTTGTTTTTATTTTTTATACTCCCCTTTTCCAGATATCTTCAGGCTAGTCACATGATGCACTGGTCCTCTGCCTCCTGCAATCTTCTCTGGCCCCGGAAGGACCAACTCAGTGATGCAGTGCCGATATGATTACATTGCTTTCTGCATCATTACATTGAGCGCAGGGTGCTGTGGTGAAGCCCTCTCAAGGCACTGTACTCACAGTATGTCCTCTGACTTACATGTTGAATGATGAACATTACTCCACAAACGAAAACACTGGTGGATTCAACATTATCAGCAAAGGTTTAATTCAACAGGCAGATATATAGAACATATACAACGGTTATTATCTGCACTTGTTTCCATTTACAAATTAAAGCCATCTATATTTCCCCATGTATTAAAACATAACTGTTCAATCCTTCATGAAGCAAAAAGTAAAATAAAAATAGAGTGTCTGCCTACAAGAACCAATCAGGTTGCAGTTTTTATTACTCAGTTTAGTAAAAAAAAAAAAAAAAAAAAAAAAATACATTTGGCTGCTTGGGGCAACAGTCACAATTTCCACGCTCAAAGTCTAATAAGTTGGCTCCGTTGATAGTTTGTTTTGTTTTTTTCCCCATATACTGCTTAAGGCTTTAAAAAAAGAAACATTCATACATTTCAGTAATATTGTGTTTTGATCATAGATATGAAATGGATAAAAACTTTTGTAGTATTTGTAAAGTGCTTATTAGTGTTTGTCATGATGGTGTGTACATGTGCCCAGACCGTAAAACAATTTGAGATGCATAAAAAAAAAAAAAAAAATCAGACATCAGAAGGTGAGGAGTTAAAATTGTCAATGTTCTAAAAGATGTTTTCTTTGCTGCTTCTTAACTCTTCAAGTACCAGTCACAGCAGAGTTATCAGGTGATTTCCTAAAGTTAAAATCTTGATTTTAAAATGGGGCTCCCATTGGGGGTATTCTGGTGGATTCTTTGCTGGAGAAGATCCCAGGCCTTCTGAATCTGCAGGACAGACAACAACAAACATAATCAAGCTTACAAAGGCAGTCAGCACACTTTAACCCCTTAAGTACAAATACCTTTTTTTTAATTTTTTGTTTACATGTTATAATCCACATTTTAGGCCTAACAATTACTTAAAACCCCCAAACATTATATTTTTTCTGAAAGCCAAGAACATATAGAATAAAATGTTGGCAGTTGCAAATTTGTATGTTGCACAACATTAGCACAACTTATTATCAAACCCAAAAAGTTGGTGACAAATGCATTTAAGGTAAATTTAGTGCCCCAAAACACTATATAAAACCATTTTTTTTTAAATATAAAAGATGAGGTTACAGCAAGTAAATAGATAACCAACATGCCCAGGTTAAAAATTGCGTGCATTCGTGAAACTTCAACAGAATTTAGTACCCCAAAAAGTCCATACACGGCGCTTTAGAAGCCTCTACAGGTCATCAGTTTAGAAATACTCGTAAATATTGGCCCTAGAATTGATGCTCTCACTCGTTTTCTTACGTAGGTGCACCCAAAGCGTGTTTACGTGACGACGCGCGTGTTCGCGAGGAACGTTAAACTTTACTGGATTGTAGAAGCGATCTGGCGGCAGCTGAGCCACCACAATCGCTTCTACTGTAAAGCCTGACGACTTCTCAACAAATCTGAACAATGTCCCGGCGGTCTGTTTAACCCCTTCGGGATTCATGATGGGATTATCTCGTCTTGGGTCGTGAAGGGGTTAATAATGTCCCAAAGCTCTAGTCGCAGATTTTTAGGTCAAGAAACAAGCACCTATATTATGTTAAAGGGTTGAGGAGCACAATCCTACATCATAAGAAGACAGGTGTCTTATCATTTGCACATTCTGCTGGATTGAATATCCTTTCTATTACCCTTTCTATATGTATTTTGACATTTCTTGTACTTATACAATTCAATAAAACAATGAAAAACAACAAGGAAATCCACACAAGCACAGGGAGAACATACAAACACCATGCAGATAGCGCTTTGACCAGGGACTCTTAGTGCTGCAAGGCAGAAGTGTTATCCACTAGACCAGCGGTCGCCAAACTTTCTAGGGCCGGTGGTGGCATAAGGGGGAACTTGAAGAGCCGCGGGAGAGACTCAGCGGTGCCAACGAAGCCAGCGCTAGGGGAAGCGAGGCGGCAGTGGTGGGAGCAGAGCCGCATAAGCGAATGTTTCCTCTATAGCGCCGGCTCCTGCCACAGGCGGAGTTATACCAAATGCACTCCGCCTGTGAGAAATCTATAGTGAAAGTACACTTCGCTCATTCTGGTTACCAAATTGCTCTTGGAAAGGTATGGCATCCATGATCACCCTATTCTTAACTTTGCCATTTTGGATTATTTAATTTGGATTTGCATCAACTGTGGATTGTTATACATTAAAAAAATAATAAGACCTACCCCGAAAAAAAAGACCTAGTGTGTTTTTTTGAGCCAAAGAAAAATATAAAAAGACAGACAGTGTCTTATTTTCGGGGAAACACGGCACACACACACACTATGAGCATATTTCTCTATATACATTCAGTATATATACACATACATAGGTGCGGGTGTGCCTGCAGGAGTGGCAGTGCTGGTGGAGGGAGGGGCGCCCCAGTA